TAAGTTATTGTCAAAGCAGTCAGCCTTGTATTGGAGATGAGTCAAAGTTCAGAGTACACATACGACAAAGCCATAAAATGCAACAGATCCAACAATAAAAACTTTAGCGTACATTCTCTGGGTTATCCTAGGACTTCTATACAAAAAGGGAAACAAATCGAACCCGACTGTCATCCAATATTATAGAGTATTAAAATTTAATTTCTTTTGATTTTTCCGATACCCGCAGCTTTTTTACACAATGTTGAACATTTTTCGTTTCGCAGATGTTCGTTTATTATAGATGTTTTTCTGAAAAAGCTGCATACTTTAGGGCAATGAAAAGGACTGCATGAGAAACACTTGTGCTTTACTACAGGTTACTTTAAACAAAAAGGGTACAAATGCATTTTCCTAAAAACTTTATTTCCGCGTTATATGAACGACTAGCTGTGTTTGCCGTTACTCGTATATTGACATATTTTAAATTACATTGTGATGAAATACTAACAATTTATAACTTCTTCATGCACTTAATTTTTTACGATTATTAGATAAGCTAATCTTGCAAAACTAAGATCAAAGGGAAAATATATAAAGTTTATATATGTGTTGGTAACACACATGGAAATGTTCATAGGAAAATTTGTGAATACTATATATGCAGTCCTAATGTGTCTTTTTAAACCCATCACCGAAGCATGATGGGTTTGTCAAAACATCTGCAACGACCTGAAGGAGGCGTCAGAGGCCCCAAAAATAATGTACATTCTTGATCAGCATCAAATTCTAAATCGATTTAAGCATGTCCCTGTTGTAAACACCTTCCTAGCCGCAAAACGAAGCTATCGCTTTCAAATATGAAAGCCGACAAACTATATAAATTATGTCATGTCTGTCCGCGCAAACGTAACTACGTTAGCGAAAATAAAGTTATCGTCTACAAAGTCGCAAACGAATTTCGAAGTGACTTACACTTTACCAGAGACATTACTTTGCAAATAGAAAAAAACAGAAGCGCGCTCACTTCATATTATAGAGCATGTCCTTTTTAGGATAACTGTGATGGGTATACAAGATTCGCTGATAGCCGAATATATGATTTTCTGCTGTGTTTTTTTATTATGACTGTTTGTTCGTTGAAATTTTAAAATCATTTCGTTGGGCTTGATTTCAACGTTTTTGTTGTTTTTCTCTCTTTGAAATTTTTCCAAAAATCAATTAAATCTATCTATAGGTGGATTTGAAATAAACAGAAATCGATTATATTTACGTAATAATTATTTTATTACGTTTTTTTATATATCTTGTTGTGAAAACGTTTCATCTGACGAATACATTATGTTGAATGCGCTTATCAATGTTATGTTTTGTTTACATCATATTTTAACAAAGGCTTACTATGTGAGCATTACAGTTTTGTTGCAATTATTAAATATTTGTCTTTCGCTAACACCATATGAAGCTATCATCATATCATCTATAATAGATGAATTTTAAATATTGTTTCATAAAAAAAAAAAAAAAAAACAAAAAAACAAAAACTAAATGACTCGTTATCAAGTGGTTCGTTCTCAGCCGAGATTTCTTTCTTTCTTGCATTTATTTGTTTATTTTTCTTTTTTCCTGCGCCTAGCGAGCGATAGCACTTTCAAGTACGGATTCTTCTTAGGAAACATGAGATAATTGAAAAAATGCATTATTAAAGAGTAAATAAATGCAATAAAGACTTCTAATAACAATAAAAGCTAAAAGTGTTTGTCGAATGTTTATGTTTATTTACAATAAAAAGATTTTCAATGCGATGCTTGGATATATTTGCAGATTTTTGCATCGGTAGCCACCCACAAAGCACAAATTGCCTTTTCTTAACAATTAAATATGAGAAGCATTCATTTCTTTACATATAATCAAATTATTACTAAGAAAAATAAATAATAAGCAACAAAGCAGTAAAGAAAACAAAACAGTGTTTGCAAAAACCACAGCCAAGTAACTTGTGCGGTTTACAAATTATTTTGCAAAGTCTTCAACTTTTATCAGGAACACAAATGTTGCTCTTATGTTTCTTCGAAGATATCCTGCAAAAACAAATATGAGCAACATGGCGATTCACGGTGCACTCACTATTAAATGCTCTGCAACACTTCGCTGAATGCAATTACGGGAAGTGGTCGACGTAACATTCGTCGTCTTTAAAACAAAACACAACAGTATACCAAATTTCATAAAAAAAATCTAGAAATATGCGAGGCTGGGAGCAAGTAATCGAGACAGACAGACGGACGGACAAGCTTAGATTGATCGGTATAATAAAATGTGCGACTATACCAACTCCTTCTGGAGACTTCCGCAAGAACTTATTATACTCCTGTGGCGACAAGTGCCAAGCAAAAAAGCTTATTAATATTTTTGGAATTTTTTACAAGCTTTTAGAAGAAAAACTGCCAGATATATACGGTGGTTTAAACAGAGATTGCACACTTACTCTTCATAGACCGGGTTTCAAAAGCTTAGGAAGCTTTTAAGTACATAGTGTTAAGTGTACAATTCGTAAAAATCCCGCAGTCTCCTGAAATAGAGCAGAAAGGGTTCACACTTTGATAACAGTCAATAGATGGACATCCGATTAGATCTTGCCTTAAAGAAGAATTTTGATTTTAACTTCTATTTACCGCTTGCTTAACCCATTGATAGTTTAGGAACAAGTCAAAATATTATTTCTTTGTTGCTCCTTTCTTAATGCGATTGCGCAGCTATGTTCGTCCTAAAAATTATATTTTTACTATTCATGAGAACCCCTATACGTTAAAGCCACCAAAACGTGAACCTGTCCGGTCCAAATTTGATAAAATTAAGTTTTATCTCAAAAGCCTTTTTATAAAATAGAACAAAGTAGACCTTGTTACCATCTAATTGCTTATTACATATGGTAACGGCTTCAATAAACAGCCCCCCCGCTCAAGCTCAACAATGAAAACACTTCTCTGGAGCAATTTTCACCATAAATAAATGATGTAGAGTATAAAAGTGCTAAAAATTAGACTTGACTGTCAAACGCAGGCTTGTAATTTGTCAGAAGGTGTATGTGCGAGGGGTCAAAAAAAAAAATGATCCTATCACGTACTATTCCGCCACACTCATTTAACATGCGAAAATACTACTTTTCTTTCAATCAATTTTCCCCAAGAACTATTAAAAATCGCAATCCATGCTCCTATCGAACAGACTCTTCATAAAGATCGATTCGCGAACCACCAAATCCCTCTTGTATTTCGTTCAGCAAATTTGATGAAGGTGGCCTAAAGATTTGCAGCCTATAAATCGAACACAAACATATATTGCCAAATGTAAGATGGGAACACAGATTTTAACTGATTTGCACAATTATTGTAAGCCGATTGGTATAACGAAGAGTGGATGAATATCAAACTCTTCATGCCATCGAACATAATAACATTATGCAGGTGCCATATCTTCGCCGTATGCTAAATTGTTTGTCTAAATGATTACCTCTAGCAATAAAGGAAACACTTTATAACTCCATAGAGTTTATACTCCATTACCATGGTATTCTTGCCACGTGCAAGAGATAGTAAGGAAACATTTGGTTCCTCACATCTTACTTAAATACTTCATGTGACGGTACATCATATATTTCGTAAGGCTACAGCTAATCGACGAAGACCGACGATTAAACAAAACACGAATTCCCATTAACTTCCAATCTAGTTTTTATCAAAATTCATGTTCAAAGCTATTGCTTGATCGAAAGCTTTAGTGGTGCATACTCACGTTAACTAAGTTCTTGTCAAAACGATAAGAGAACTCAACTGTTAAACTGTTATAAAACTGATCGCAGGGTTGCGTTTTTCCCCAAAATCAGCCAAAGACTATATCTAAAGCTCTTCTATTTATCATACCTTTCTCTCACATCTGTACGATCAACTGTCCAACTAAATTATTCTTTAAGCTTCAGTCAGCCGCACTTATGAAACACGCAATGCCACTCCATTGCTCATAACGCTTGCGTTACTTAGAGCGCAGCTAAATTCCAGCACTTAATTATTTATATCGCTCTCTTAGTTGTACAAGTAACTATACGCGGGCAGGATGATCAAAAGTACGTAACAACGTCGTAGCGGGCCAGCGCAACGAACACATGAGCGCAACAGCCAAACGCGGAAGATTGAATGAAGAACTAAAATTCCAGTGCATGCATATCGCCCTCAGAAAAATAATTCCTGTCTCGTACGAGCTGCCCCAAATAGCCCATGGTATATAAAAAGCTTATGCACAATATAAGTAACTCTGGAGAAGTAATTAGACTATGTAAGACTCTGGAGAAGTAATTAGCCCATGTTGGTGTTTTTCTTCCCTCTTAACGAAGTAAGCCTTTTGTAAAGGCGTAAGCTAGTGATTGGAAGCATCAGCATCGTAAGATGTGTAATTGTGGCAGCTCTGTTGTCTGGCAGCAAAAAATGCCCATTTAAATAAAATTTTTGAAACACACCGCTGAACAAGCCTCAGCGAAACACCAGCCGTAGACGATTGATTGATTGATAGAACGCAAGTGGCTTTTCATTCTTCCATTCTTTGTTCCTTTGTAAAGGGTGATAAACGCCGAAATGATTAATATCTCCTTATATATTGAATCAAATTGTTGAGTCTGATGAACCTGAAATGCTTTTTTTTAGCTTTAAAGGCAGTCGGGCAGAGGTACAGTGGCGTTGCAGAAAAAATTGCGCGAACAGTATGAATGCAAAAAAACCCAAAAGGCACATAGCTTTGCGCAAAGAACATATAATAATCCTTTTTAACAGCTTGGTTCATCGCAATGTATGTGTATTCATTGCGTCAGGTTTGTCGAAGAAAATGCATTTTTACTACGTCTTAGTTTTTATCATTCTTTAGCGGAAGCATTATTTGAAACTATCTGCCGCTTATAAAACAGTCTCAGTTAAAAAGCATTTGTCAGTTCGTTTGTTTTTTTAATTTCTGTTCCACTTTTACTTTTTCAGGCAATGGAGTCGTTATACACCTTCCGTCACTTTTCGAAGAGCTTTTAAAGAACCAAGCTAAAGGTTTGCAAAAGATCGAACATCGTTTAGTGATTTCTGATCGAGCACATCTGGTGTTTGATTTTCATCAAGCTGTCGATGGCATGCAGGAAGCCGAGAAAGGCGGAAAATCTTTGGGTACGACCAAAAAAGGTATCGGTCCAGCGTATGCCAGTAAAGCAACGCGTAATGGTATACGTGTGGCTGAGCTATTGGGTGATTTCAATCTTTTCAGTGAAAAGTTAGAAATTTTTGGTTATTTTTGCTTTGCCATGTAATTAGAATACTTTTAATAGATTCAAATCAATTGTGTCCACACATCAGCGTTTGTTTCCGTCTATAAACGTTGACGTTGAAGCGGAATTGCAACGCTATAAGGAATATGCGGAACAGGTGCGCCCTTACGTTAAGAATACTATGTGGTTTTTGAACACCGCCTTGGAGAACGATCAAACTGTTCTGGTAGAAGGGGCCAACGCAGCCATGTTAGATATTGATTTCGGAACATACCCCTATGTAACCAGCAGCAATTGCTGTATTGGCGGTGTTTCGACCGGGTTAGGTTTCTCTCCGCATAAAATCGGTGAAATAATTGGAGTTGTTAAGGCCTATACAACACGTGTGGGCGATGGTCCTTTTCCTACCGAGCAACTCAATGTAAGCTGAAAGCAAAGCTGAAACTTATTTAGATCCAAATAATTTTTGTTTTCTTTTTATATTTAAATATAGGAAATCGGAGAATTGTTGCAAACTCGAGGCTTTGAAATAGGGGTTACTACGAAAAGAAAACGTCGTTGCGGTTGGCTAGATGTTCCTCTACTGCAGTACAGTTCCATGGTGAACGGTTACACTAAAATCTGTCTTACCAAATTGGACATTTTAGATACTTTAGCCGAAATTAAAGTAGCCATAGCGTAAGTTGATCATATGATCAGTTCATATACATATACACATTTTTTTTATGCAATAATATATGTTTTTATGTGCTTAGTTATAAACGATCTAATGGTGAGGTATTGGAACCGGGAGATTATCCTAGTACTATCGCGGAATTAGCTAATATCGAAGTTGAGTATGCAACTCTGCCCGGTTGGCGAACCTGCACGGAAAATATACGCAACTTTAAAGAGTTGCCCGAAAATGCACAAAATTATGTACGCTTCATAGAGACTCACCTTTGCAAACCATCCAAATCCAAACCCAAACCAGCACTCGTACCGATACGATGGGTAGGCGTAGGCAAGGGCCGTGAATCGATTATCTTTGTACCTGAGCGCTAACAGGGTTAACTTAGTCCCTATGCCTCACCATTTTAATCTATAGCAAGCAATCGCTTAGCATCTACTATACTATAATGATCTATTTTTTGTCTTTTTTTTTATACATATATACAAGCATGATCGAGAACATTTTTCGTAATTTTTTTATTTTTGATTGTGAAAGTACATTTTTTTTTTAGAAATCTTTTTAAATCTTTTAATTAAGCTTAACGTGTTTTAAAGTCTTTTTTTTTTTGTTTTAGTGGAAATAATCATAATGCCGACTTAATAATAAAACGTCTATGAATTTTGATAACATATATATTTGTACGTATATACGTGTACGTGTCTGCGTTTTCGATTCTATGTATATTGTATTAATTAATAAGTTTTTTTTGTGGTAATTGAGAAAAGTGTGCGTTTTACTTAAGTCTTAATAGAAAGTTTAAAATGAATATATTGTCATTTAAGGCCTTATGGAATTTAGCAAAGGCAATAACTATAATAAATTTTAATTATTAAAAAAAAAAAAAAAACCGAAAAAAATGCAATAAAAATGTAATTATAAATTAAAAGACGAATTTATGCTTCATCAAACAAAAGTCATGTGCCCTGCATCTGCCAAATGCAAAGCTGTTATGCCGTTTTAAAGGTTGTAAGGAAGAGTTTTGCTCGCTTACTAATAACAAACCTGTCCGCATAATTGTCCATCCATAGTCCGAAACATCCCTCACCTGTGACCAAATAAATTATAAAAGCAGTTGGCCGGTCTGTCCGATTCGTCCGTTAAGTTCCGCGAGAAAGTACATGTACCTCTCTGTCGACCATTTCCTTAGCGTAAGTGTGTTATAAACATATGTAAAAATACCTTCTCCTTATAATTATTTTTCAAATCTTTAAGCAACATGCCTACTATTAGATAAGACATTGTAGACATATACATGATGATCACATATCATTGTATATGAAACATTGTATATACTCTTGCTGCTATATATTCGAACTTACCCTTATTTCTGAGCCATTAATCAATTTTTAAAGAAATGTATTCATCGACCTATATATAATTGTTTAGAAATGCTATCGTTCCGACACATCTCGTGATATGAAGGAAACTACGTTATAGCGACGACATATCGCTTGCTAAATATTGCTGAGTATTTATTTCTTTACTTGTTAATTGTCACGTATACAGTCAATGCGAGTCATTTTGTTTCGCAGCCGTCAACAAACGCGTCCGGATTGAAAGAAGAAATCAATCGCACTTACATATTTCTTGGTTTAGCTGATTTTTGTTGGACTCGAAAAAAAACATTGGCGAAGAAATTTTGGCAACGTCGTTGCAATTCGTTCATTTCGCGATTGACTATTCTGACTATTCATCTGCAAGAATTTAAATATATCTGCGTGATTTCTACATTAATACAGTAAACATGTAAGTAACAGTTAATCTTAAGTTATGACATATTTCTAAATTTGAAAAATAGTAACTGTTGCTTTTAACGGCGTGTTTTTTTTTTTTGGCTGCTATTGTTAAAGGTATTAAAAAACCGCAAGGATCAGATTCCTCTTCTATGCACCATATACGTATTATTTTGAAAATGTACGCTATTTGGAAAATCTATGCCGTGATGTATTCAAATGGGTCTAAAGTCACAATTTGCACTTGAACGGAAGCTTAAAACTCTAAAGGAAAATTAGTTTATATCTATCTGGATGTTAGCTTTCTTCCTAAGAATTCAGTGCTTAAAAGATTGCTATGGGTCCACTGCTAACCTCTATTACATAAGAATGGATGATAAAATCAATTCAAGCAATATATATCGTAGATGAAGATATGAATCTTAACTTAGCTCAGAGCTTAATGCGAATGCTGGCGCTAACTTTGCGGATTACTACTCGCAAAACGCCTTGTAGTGAAGGTTTTAAAACCTGGGATAATATAATATTCAGGTTTCATAGTTATTGTTTGTAGAACGTTTTCCTTTCCATTCCGAGCAGTTGGAGAACACCGCCTTTCCTAAAAAGTTTCCTTTTTCACGTATTTGCTGAAGTTTATCATCAGGCTAAAGAATTTACGATGGATATCGTTATTGGAAGGGAAGAATCTGAAGGTTGCGTCTATAATGGTTCTTAATCGCAGGGCAATAAATTAAGGAGGAAAACGTAGCTTATGAGCTTTTTTACAAAGACCAGTTGTATGGAATTTGTATTTTCTCAGATGGTTGGAATTTGTATACAAATTATTGAGAATATATACGCTTAATCAAATTTTTACTACCACTGTTATGAATAAATTTTCATCGTAGAACTTTTCCGTTTTTTTGCCATATAAGAATTTACATTTCTTGAGATTCCTTATATGAGGTGATATCAAAAAAATGGAACAACATGGTCCGAATTCGACTTCCTTATCAACTTACTATTATAAAACAATTTTCATTTTGAAATTCTTCAAATTATACCTTTTTACCCGATAAAGATTCAATTATCGTAGGAACAGATACGTGAAAGGGGCTTGAAACAATCGCCCCGGTCAAATCAAATATTTCATATTAATTTATAATGTAGAAATATCGTTAACAAAAGGGTTTTGCCGAAAAATTTGGAAAATGAAAACTTTTCTTTTCAAAACAAGCAGTACATGTGGAAGGATGGAGATAGTAATACGAACAAGGGTTTATTGTTTAGGTGAAAGCATGTCAATGTCAATCAAATTTCCTCAAAATAGATTGAGCAAGCAACAAAACAAGACGTACCGGCGGACAGAAAGCGATTCTTAATAGATTAGTATAATAAAAGATGGATCTATCTTCCTTTATTCAGCCTTCTGACTGTTACGCACGTTTGTGCAAACTTACACAGACAACTTCGGCCATGTTTCATGTCGCTCGTCAAGATGCAGAGAAACAGGTTAGTGTACGTATATGCTCGAAAATCGATGAATTCTTTGCATTGGGGGGAACATTTAAAAATTGTCATTTTAAAATAAAGATGACAGCGGCCTTAATTAAATAACAATTCTTAATTAAAATAACGATTTCATAACATGTTTACGAAAAAAAGAAAGTATTATTTTAAAAATTCAAAAGATTAAGCGTCAATCAATTATAATATTCAATAGTAGTCTGGTACAGGAGCGCAAGCAATTTTCACAAAATCGGCGTAGCGCACTAAACTGTTATTGTTAACATTAGCCTCACGGAATATATTATCAATCTGTTAATAAGGAAATAATTAAACACGCGAAATTTTTATGGAAATGTATAGAAAAATACTTCTCTCATTGATAAACCTTCGCCCCAGCCAACCAATAAATTACGCAGCTGACGGGCTGATATGAAGCCAGTGTTTTTACAATCAGCTGCTTTAAAAGCTTCTATAACCTCATCAGGTAGGTTTTCAACTTTCGAATGTTGATGCATAACATCCAAAAAGTCAGCAAAACTCATTTTTCCTCCTCTTTTCTTAAGATAACTAACCAACTCTGAATTTGGCAGCATATGATAGTAATTAAATGAGCGAGTCTGAATTAATTAATTTTATTACCTTGTATGGTAGGCGAGAAACCCAAGGATCTCATAATAACAGTCAATTCATCTAAAGTGCTTATTTGACCGGACCGAGCGAACAAGTAGAAACACTCGCGAAATTCTTGAAGCAGAAAATTTAACATATAAGCGAGTAAATAGCGAAAACTTTCACTTCCGGTTTTTTTGCACATCGGCAATCCTTTAAATATAAGTACATACCATCGATATCCTGTTCCTTGAAGTAGCGAGCCTTTGAAATAACGATAAAAATATTGTTATAAGGAATATGTATTCTATACATATATATGTATAGCGAAATATATTTGTATATCTAAAGAAGCACTTGTTGCTTTATACGATTACATATACAAAGAGCTTTCACTTACTTGTCACACTTACCATTATTACAGTTATTTTTTAGATACTATTAATACTATTAAGTTGATCGTGAACTAAATTTGTCTAATACTCAATTACATAGAAATTATTATAAAAAATTGGATTTCCAAAGCCTTGCCTTTTTTTATTTTCTATAGCATTAGTTCCGTCAGTACATATGTCAGTTGTATATTCGATAAAAGAAACCACAAATAAAGCAGAGTTGCTTATGATTAAAGTGACGTAACGTTACTTTGCATAAACAGCAGATACTCTTTTTAGTTCTAATTAACTGAGATTTTGAACTGAATGAAAAAAATATATAATAAATTACTGACGTATTGACCGCCCTACACTTTTCGGGCATTAATGAACCATTTTCCCTACTCATTATCGAATAATTTTATATCATATGTAGGAAAATGAAAGTTGTGCTTGCTAACAGTATTGCTGTTGAGTAACGTTGAACATACCTCACGTGTAGACGTGTTTGTTTATGTTTATTGTTGTTGTAAGCAAAGACTTGTGAGTTCTTATTTTTGACGTGTCAGTTGTTTTTTTCCCCTTAATAGACTGTGTGCCAAGAGATTCCGAAAATTTTATTAAAAAACTTATAAAATGTTAAATGCTTTTTGGTCCTTTTTAGTGGTATGTTTTCTTAGCGAAATTCAAGGCCAAAGGGTGGCGCCCGGAGTACCTCCACAACACTATGTGAGCATTAATTAATAAATTTTTGTAAAGCAAAAAGTTATTATAAAATATTTATGTGAACATGTGTGTGTTATAGCAACATCAACAACAGCAACCCCAATATCATCAGCCGCCGCCACCACCACAACTGCAGACCGGTCAATATCAGCAGCAACAGCAACAGCCACAACACTTACCACCTAATGTAGCACCTCAACAATATGTGGGTTACTAATCAAATTGAAAATATAAAAAAGAAATTCATTTACTTTACGGAAACGCGTTCCATTACAGCAACCGCAGCAACAAAATCAACCGCATCAGCCAGTGCAATATCAAAATGTACCTGTGCAACAACAACAACCGCATCATATACCTGTTCAGCAACAGCCACAGCAAGGAATGCACGCACAACATGCACAACATGCATCGCAAGGACACGGTGGCCAGGTTCTTAATGCAGCTAATATACAACAAGAAAGGGAGTAAGTCTAAGAGAATTTAAACTTTATCAAATCTTATCAACTATGCTTGATAACCAAAGTCTTAAAAAATCAAAGTAAATAATTGATTTATTTATATTGCCTCTTCTACGAAAAGAGATTTATAAGTTGTTTTTTTGTTTCTCCGCTGTTTCAGGCATATACAAGAGCATTTACAAGTACCTATTGATACTAGTAAAATGTCCGAGGCTGAACTGCAATTTCATTACTTTAAAATGCATGATTCCGATAATAACAATAAATTAGATGGCTGTGAATTGATTAAATCATTAATACATTGGCATGGTATGTTATAAAATAGAAAGAAAAACAACTTTTAACTCTGTTGCTAACTTAAAGTAATTTTGTTTACTTTTACGTGTCTGTGACAATTTCATTGGCATCATTGGTGCGCAATACCTTTGTGATGCAACATTTACACGCTATCTATATTCCAATTGGTCTTTTGTCGTTAATGTTCGGACGCATGAAGAACAAGGAAATAAAGATGCTCATGCTCATGATCCCGAACAACCTCGAGTAGAAGAGAAAATATTCACTGATGAAGAATTGGTAGTTTTAATTGATCCAATATTGCAAATGGATGATACGTCACGCGATGGATATATAGATTATCCCGAATTTATAAAAGCTCAACAAAAGGCCCAACAAAACCAGCAGCAACAGCAACAACAAGCGCAGAAAAGTGGTCATTAATACATGATAGGATTTGAGTCATCGTTGCGATTAAGAGGTTTAAAATCTTTTTCTTTTTTTTTTCATTTTTATTCTATTGTTTGTTAATTACATTTTTCTTTTTTGTTTTTTATTTTATTTCTATTTTAAAAGCTCCTGAACAATAATTTAATTATTTTTAAATATTTTCAAAAAAATTAAAAGAAAAAAAAACAATTTTTTATTAAAATCTTGCATATACAGAGTAATTAAAGAAAAGAACTGATTACGTATTTAAATATCAAACAGCTTATCTTCAATTTTTTCTATACACAAACTCGGTTAATTTTATAAAGAACAAGGAAAAATTGCAAATTTCTCCTTTGCTTGCATATATTTCTAATGAAAAAGAAAACATTTCCTTTTTCTTGATTTATGTGGTAGAAGTAACATGTATCCTTTGCGTTTCTCACTTAGAATGGCATTGTAAAATCATTGCAATTCCCTTCCTTTTTATATAATAATTAAATATTTTATATTTTCTGATAGAAGCTATTTTCAAAGGAACACAACGGCAATAACGGATTGGAGGTGCACTGCCACGAAAGCAGAGAAAATGGCCAAAAAAACGATGAAGGAGAAAAGGTTGCGTATTTTGATCAGAAACTAATTGTTGAAATTGATATCGTGCTCCTGGAAATCTACAAAATTCAAAAATCCATCTTCGGTGTATTTTCCAATGTAATTCGATGTATTTTTTACAGTTGCATTATGATTAGATTGAATAGTTTCCACGTTCGTTTTGACAAATTTAAACAGCAGCAAAGTGAAGATTTTGTACACGTATTTTTCACAATTAAAAGATCAGAATTTATATATGATGTACGACCGGCACAAATCGTGGAAAAATTTGTTGCCATTTACAAAGCGTGAACGGATGAAAACCTACCGCGTTAATTTAATTTGAGATTACCATGATGCATGATATAATAAATGTAAATTAAATTTGCATACATTTGCACATTACTCAGAATGGCTTGAAGTATGTCACGATCATTTTCTGAATTCATTTAAGTCCGTCTATCCGTCCACACAAGTTGTAATTTTTTAGATATTTTGGCCTAAAAATCGATGTTATTGAAAATGGTCCGGGTCGGATGACCATTGTCCATATTTATATGGTTTTTAACCCCAAAAAAACGTTGCATTGTTAATATTTTTCGACAAAAAATGGTAAGAAATCACATTTTAGCAAATTAAATATATGTCGGAAAATTTAAATGATGAAAAGGAAAGGTGAATAATTATTTTGTACGAAGTAGTGTAGGCTGCTGTCACTATGCACTTAAAAACCGTGCAACTCTGCAGTAAATTATCGTTATTTTGGCTTATGATAGCCGATTATTATCGACTACATCGTGAAGGGAGAAAACAAAAATGTGCGCCACTTTTACATTCAATTATGCTTTAAAAATGTTAAAAGTTAAAACTAAATAAATTAAAAGAATAGAAAATCGCGAATATGATATAAAAGCCAATTCCCAGCTGCTCATTAATCTCATTAGTCTACGGATAAAAAAACAATAGTAATCGTGTCAACATGATTCCGTTACTAATTTTCGTTCAGTCCTTCTTAGAATGCTTGATGTTTTATTTTCATTATCGTTCTACGTTATTTTCCTTCAACATTGCAAATAAGTCATAAGAAAACAGAGATTGACACTGTGCACTGAAATGCAGTATGAAAAATCTTGAACATAACCGAATACATTGTAAATTATAATATTTATTCTTCTTCTTGCGCGCAGGTTGGTATTGAAAATGGGCCCAATTGGCCTAACGACGCACCTACAGCACTACGTAAAGTGGGGACCACCCGTCTACTTTTCAACAGGAATAAAAAACTGCTTTCTTACTACTATAGTATAGACTATAGCAAATAAATTTACAAAAATTTGAACGTATATTCTAGGGACGATGCCGTAGCGTCATGGAAGAAATTGACCGCGCCTACTCAATATTATAGTGTATCAAAATGTAATTATTTCTTCAATACCCTTATAAGGCGCGGAAACAAGCTTCAAAAACACCATAAAGTATAAAAATTCTTAGGCATTTTTAAATTTGAAATGCAGCTAAATATGTCCGCCTGTTTGTCTGTCTATATGTCTATTTGCGCAGCTTTGTAGCGTATGTGGCAAACATTCTCCCGTTCTTCATAAATCGCTAAACGTTATCTTCCATAAGTTTTGCGAGCAAGGTCACGTCTTTACAGAAATTTTATTTCAAACAAGATGCAGATGAACGAAAAAACGAATTACCGCGTAATTCTCAATAGCCGTTCTCTATAAAGAGATACGAAATGAACGAAGAGCGCAATTTGTAAGGCGCAAGACTTGAATATTTATATTTCATAAACGGAATGCCGAAGAAGAATATTTGCTGTAAATGAAACTCAATCATATCATTCATAGTTTTACTCATTTTTGCTTCTGCTATATGCATAGGTAGGTATATATATATATATATAATGCACATGACCTCAGATGAATGAATGTTGGGGAAGAGCATGATAGATGCTCGCGGCCAACCCCCAGAAAGAATACAATTCAGTTACTAGATTTGTTAGCTCATAAAGAGACATCAAATATTAAACACAATTTTTTTATATTCGTCGTAAAAGTCTAAACGTTTTTCAATGAAAAAATCTTTAAACAACAAATTTTTTACAAATGAAAAAAAAAAATCTTAAAATGTTATAAAATTGAATGAATTAAGCTCAACTTGAAATATAAGAAATGAAAAGAAAATTTAGTTAACATAAAGTTTTTTCTTATTCTGAAGTGAAATTGTCCTAAATACTTCTATGTAACAAACATCTCACTGGCTGTCACAGATTATTTGTAATGTGTTATTGATTTTGCCAAGAGTTTAAGAAAGACAAGAAATAAAAGCAAAATAAAGCAAAGCAGAAAAATAAAAAAAAAAAACAAATATTTACTTAAACGGAAACCGGAAGCTTTACAACCGCAAAAAGAAATTCATAGTATCACCTGAGAACATAAATCACAAACTTTCATATTTCTCTATGCGTTCGTGTGTCTGCTTAAACCGGTTTTGTTAAAAGCCTTTTGTTTTCTTCTTCTTCGAGAAAACAAACTAAAATCGTCGTTTTATAAAATAATAAAAAAGAAGTGTAAAAAGAGCATAAAAATAAAATTTTGCCTATTCCCATAAAGCAAACATATCCTTTTACACGCGCACGTACATAGATTCATATCACAAGTATTCATATTCTTTGTACTTATTTTGTACTAACGCTACTCAAGCTTAAGCGTTTGAGTGACATACAAGAGCTTGACAGTTAAGATCAATAACCTTGTTCTGTGATATCTGCAACGAGAAGGAGAGGAAAAGCCGCAAAAACGCCGTACCACACGAAAATGGAACGTAAATTACTGTACGCCTTTCGGGGCTGGATAGCGTTCGTGGCATTTATGGATTTAGGGACGGCATTTCGTAGTTATATAGAACGCCGTAGCTTTTTGGATCGCGCTGAAACGCAGTTTCTAGAAGGTAAGCACACCTATTTCCCACAAAACATGTTACTCGCTTCCGACCTTGCGCTTGCTTTAAAATCAAAATTTTTCAGAAAAAAAGTAAGTAAAAAAATTATATTCGGGTGTGGCCGACTCGTTTATACCCAGCACCGTTATCCTATAAAAAATTGGAGAGAAGAAAAAATTTATATTTGCATACGCCATAATATGGGATAGGCATTAGCCGATTTTTTTCTATTTTCGTACAATAATTTTGTGAAAATTTATATCGCGTATCTGTTTTAGTTTTGGAGCAAAAAGTAAAAGACACGGAAAGCAAAGGTGCTTTCAATTCTGGTTCTATAGACGTTTGAACATTGTAGGCGTATTGTGTGACCGGTTTTGGCTATTTTCAAATTCCTTTGCATGTTTGTAGGCGAGAAAATGTATTTCACAGACACTACACAGTTGGACAAACGAACAGGCGAACAGACGAACATGCTTAGATGCATTCCGAATACGAAAGTGTTGAAGAGTTTATGTAAATTAAGGGGCTTTTGCGGTTTGGTTCTGCGCGTTATTAACGTATTGATATTCTGCAACATTCTGTAGGCGTGGCCAGTTTCCCACATTTTTATGCAAGTACTACAGCATCACCTACAGAGTATAGATTCATATTTCTGCAGATTTATCTGTTTCAGCTTATGAGTAATGAGCAAAAAATGAATTATTTATTCCTTTTGAAAAAAAGAAGCGTTCTCTGTCTACATGTTGCTGTAGACGTGTCCTTCAACCCATTTGACGCCGATAGCTTCATTTCTGCGGCCTGTGGAATGTTTATAACAGGCATTACACGGATGAATAGACTTGCATAAATCTATTCAAAATTTGATGCTGATCACGAATATACATAGGCCTCTGAAGCTTCCTTCTGGGCGTTATAGGGGTTTTGACAAAACGAATAAGCTCGTTCATCTGTCGGTGATGGGCAGAAAATATTTTAAAACGACGAATTTTAACTTCGTATGTACTTATTTCTGGTTCATTCTAACTCATTAGTTTCGTGGCACAGAGACAGGTACCCTTCTGCTGCCAAAGAAAGAAAACAAAAAATTAAATAAATATTTTCTACTAATTTTTTTATTTGAAAAAGTAATAATCTTTTGTTTTTACAAAATAAATGCTTTTATTTTACATTTTTACATGCCGTAAAACTTGTCGTACAAGAGCGTATTAAATTTGCGCGGATATATGCCATACCTAGAAGGACTTGAGATAAACCCGTCTTTTAATATGCGGATCAACTCAAAAACATTTTCAAACGATCTAAACTTGTCCGTCTGTTTATTCTTTTTGTTGTCTAATAAAATTCTTATTTTTGCCATAAGACTCAAAAATTACTAACTGTTTTTATATGAGCCTACTATTTTGGAACCGTACATTAAAAATTACAGCCCTTGTCGTAAGAATGGTTGCTGTGAAGACATTTAAAAACTGAGGCATGTGTTCAAAACTCAGAACAGTTAATATTTACATCCTATTACCATTATGGATCATTTTTCGTAATAACATACTAAAATTTATACTTTCCTGCTCTATAAAGGGGTCACTTTTTTGAAACTTTTCATGTAGCATAGGATATAAAATATAAGTCGAGATGATCCAAATTTGGCACAGTTAATTTTTTTTATCCTAAATTACTATTATGCTGTGACTACCATTACAAAACATTGAAAATTAGACCTTTTTCTCATATGAACTTCAGTGCGATATAAGAGATGGAGTTCAAAAATTGTCCGAGCTGCTCCAAACTTTTCACACCAATTTAGAGTGTCGAAGTACTACTACATAGTCACTTTTGCTGAGAAATTTTGAAAATTGCAATTTTTTTTCCATACAACAATTTTTAGAATATGGCGTTATTTGGGGAGTGGTCCGGATCCGGCGAGTGAACCGGATCCAAATCATTTTCAATAGCTTTCATTGGATCAAAACACGTCAGTGGGCCTAATCTCATCAAAATATCTCAAAAATTGTGATCCGTAGTTTGAACATAAATTTACACGGATTACGACGGACACACTTAGAATCCTTTTCGGAATCGAGCGGTATAATAAAAGATGGGTCTGTCTTTAGCGCTACTGCGTGTTACATACGTCCTCACAAACCTAATATAGCCTGTACAACAAGTAATGTAGGGTGTAAATATTGAAAACCATTTTCTTTGTAAAGAGCAAGGAAAAACGAAAGAAAAACATTATATTCGGCATTAAATCACCTTATTGAAAACCACTGAAAATATTCGGAATCAGGCATCACTACGGCAAACATGACTAACTTCACAGGGACTCTTTCACTTTTTTTCGAAAAATCAAGGAATGATCCAAATGAACCCACTTTCCATTTAAACTTCCCTAACGTGTACGTATTCACCTTGAAGGGGTTAAATATGTCACTATTAAGTGTTCAAATGGACCTACTAACGGACATACCCATAGGATGCCCAAAGGAATGCTTTTTAATTACAAAATTTGTTAGAAAACTCGAGATAGGAAAGCCAATCACCGCGTGGGGGAATGATCTCGATTAATCGGCTATCTCGGTTCTCGTGTCTTGCTATTGCACTCTTTATGTAAATGAAAAACGTATGGGGGCCCAGGGCTTCTCTGTGTCCTGTAAAGCCAACACAATGGCGATATCAATGACGCATTTAAAAAAATACTCTCTATTTTGTAGGCGATTATACGGTGGCCCGTATAATAGGAATGTATTGTTTATTGAAGGCGATAGCTTTGGTTCACTGTACGCTTTACATTCATTATAAACCGTAAGTAATAGTATGGATTTATGCAACCGTATGATAGAAAATGTAACCTATTCTCCATCACATTTCAGAGTTGTTAGTATGGGTGGCTGTTCTTTAGCAGTAACGATGGTTTTATATCTGACCGAGGCCTTATATTTTCGTTCTTGCACTTTGAACTTTTACGTTATATTTCCCTGCATATTAAACTGTAAGATATTAAACTCTAAAGAATAGTTTTTTGTTTAAATTTTCATTTAAATTTTATAACCGTTCCAGCTCTCACTTTAATGGGTCTCATGTACATACCCAGACGTTTACGACTGTGGGAACCCAATATGGATATTGACGATGAGAATTCACAATTGCTTAAGCAAATGGGTGGTTTTAAACGTAGACGAGGCAAAAAGCCACAATAAATGAATTTATTTCTAATTAATTAGACTTTCATTCGAAAGTCTTAAATTACTATTTCTTTTTTATTCATATTAGCTATTAGTTATTGCCTAATATAACAACTGATATATAATACCAGTATTTGTCCAATTTAATATATATATATATATATATATATTAATATATATATATGTAAGATAATAATAACGAATCAACAACGATTAGGCTTTTAACAGCCATTATTTATACGACGTTTTGCACCCAAAGATTGCTACGAAGTTAGTCTATCTTAATTTATATACGAAACACTATGGATCAATTTTTCTTCTTCTAATATCAACATGAAAACTTCCTTTAGTATATCAGCAAAAAGCAAATAAAAATTTAAAAAAGAAATAAGTAACAGTTATAGTAACTGATTATGTGAGCATAATATATACACAATCTTATATTTTAAGCTTATCTATAAAATCAAATAAGTGCAATAATTTAAAACTTGCTTTAAATTTTTTACATAAATACGTTAAATACTTATACAAATATTATAAGCAATTAAACAATATGTGTTCAAAAGGAAAATCGAACATATTATTATTTACACACCATATAGACAAGAAACAAATTTTTTTTGTTAAATTTATATTTGAAGCAAATGATCTTTTGTAAGCAATAATAGTCGTTACGATTTTTTTAAATCAAAAAAAAAAAGCAAAATAAAAAAGAATTTTTAATCAGATAATAAAAATGTTAACCAAATTGAATAAAGCAGTGCAATTTTTTTAGATATTCTTTGGCTTCTGATAACGATATACATCCCTGTGTTAGAAATTAGTTGTGATGATTGACCAGATCGCACATACAACACTGCGGCTTCTGACATTTAATCAGCGAACTATTATATTATTAAAAAAGGAAAAGATTAAAAATAACATAACTCTGATCAGTTAAAGTTGCTTTTTCACTTAACGGAAAATAAAGAAAGTTTAGATACGTTTGATTGCGGTCCATTTGCTCCATAAATTGGACGACATATTTCTTGTTAAAATTTTTGTGTCGGCCGTACAGCAGTTTTACCGTCTTATATCGGCAAAGTATCAAAAATCAAATATAGCGCGGGTTGCTTGGTTTATTAAAAGGGTAAAGTATGGCTTCCTTTCTTTTAGAAGTCAGTTGTGTGTTAACTTATTAATGTGGCTGAGGTTATGTTAATGAAAATGTTGAACAATTATAAAGTCCCCCGCGATTTTATTCATTGCAAAAAGTCTACACAAATTTGGTTGAAGTCTCTTTTTTTTTTTATAAATTGGATGAAAAATTGCATTTAACTATTTTTGGCACCAATTTGGAATAGCTTCTTTTTTGTCTTACATTCTGAAAAGCATTTCGAATCACAACAAAGTATTTCTCATTTATTAAGGACATAAGTAATTCTTTCGCAATCGCGTTTGTTGATGTATGAGGTCATGTTACTGAAAAATTTGAAGAGTTATGAGATGAGCGGAAAAGAATTATATTTTAATGCTTCCACCCATGTAGTATAGCTATTGTGGTGGTTTGTCTCATTTATTAAGGGCATAAAGTATTGCTTCCTTTGAAAAGTGCAGTTATATGGTAGAAGTTATATTGATGAAACATATAGAAGTATAAAGATAGTCGCGTTTTCATCTATTAAATATTTAGACAATATATTTTTCAAGTACATTGCATAAACAATAGTATTCCACTAATTGAAGCACATCATAAAGAAGATGTATAGAAATCGAAAATTCAACAAAAATACCAAACCCAAAGAGAACCAGCCAACTTTAAATGTAATTAATGAAAACTCGACAATGAAATTATCGGTAAGCAAAAGCAAGGCAAACTAAATATAATTTATAAAATTTTTGAAAAAAATTCGCAGCAAAATCGAAATCGAGCACAAAATGATGTCGAGGAAATGGACGTGCTTAGTAGCGAGGAAAATATACCAGCTTCGCAAGAACCTACTCAGCGTTATCTGTCGCAACGTAGCGCGATAACTGCCACCACTTTAGGCAGAACGCAGTCACGTTTGACTAGCACTTCACAAAGGCCACCAAACACTTATTTCGAACTGGCATTGACAAAAGCCGGTGTGCAGCTAACCGATGATGAAAATTTTGTCTTATGTAAGTGCTTGAAATTATAGATTAAGAAAGAACATTTTTAATTCTTTTAAAATATTTTATAGCTTGTGATCATATAACGTTTGTTAACAGACTGCGTGAGTTATTTAACAAAAACCAAAATTTTCAAGACCATCTTGAAATGTTTAAAAATGGTTTAAAAGCTGCTTGGCCCAAAATGGCCGTTAAGTTACTTAGCGGGTGCACTATCCATATACCCGGTGATGACAATACATATCAATCTCAGGATAATATGATTACTAATTTTTTTATGATTGAATATTTGCGTGAAATTGTGTTGGACTTGCTTTTGGAAAAAATAGAAGAATGTGCTCAACAAAGGTTAGTTAGTTAGTTACTTAGTTGTTAACATATTAAAGGCACAAGTACCCTTTAATCAACTTCTATATTTTCCTTTTGTAAGTAACCAAGCTGAAATTTTTCAACAAAATGGGGTTCCCTTCCTACCTTTAATGCTAGCTCAGTTGTACAACGTTTCTGCATCGCATAGTGATGTAATTTTTGAACGTATTAAGGTTATATTAGAGAAATCTTCGGAGCTTAATAGATGGCATATAATAAGTAATACAAGCTTCATTTTGGATAATAGCAAACATGACGAATTTGCTCAACTAATGATGTAAGTGAAGTGAAAGTTTTCATTTCTTTGCCGAATAAATTATTAATTAGTGACTCTATTCCAGGGACATCCTAACCAATAGTAAGGAGCTATTTCAACCGCCAGGCATAGAGACCTTAAATAATTTAAGTCTAAGTGCGCGCATACAAGCAAAATTGCGGTGCAAAATTTTAGCTTTTATTAAAGAAGATCAATGCCCGCACGAAGTAAGAAAACACATTTGCTCTTGACCATGAAATAACTTTTTTTAAAACGTTTTTTTACAGACCATTCCCAAGTTGGTAAAATTGTTAATGAAAATTTTGGGAGAAGAAAATGAGAATAGCATAAAAGAGGTATAGCGACTGTACATATGTAAGCATAAATGGAAACAAGATGAGAGCATTTCACGTAATTATATACGTGTCTTAGCTAAATCTGGTTGAACTTATCTCAAGTGCTCCATATTGTTTACGTATATTTACGCTTATAAACTGTGATTTTTCTTTTACCTGTTCGCCCTTTTGCTTTGGCAGCTGGTAAATACCCTTCGTGAAATATTAATTTGGTGTGAACATCATACAACAACCTCTTTGGCAAGAGATAAACAGGCACAATTGGAATTATTCAGTAATATAGAAAAGAGCCTAATACGTTCAAAAAAATTCTACACAATATGGCTTAAAACAATTGCTAATCTGACTGCTGCACAGATTAAGTAAGGATATGAAATATAAAATACATAAATCAGCCTCTTAATCTAGAATCTCACCCCTTTTTCTAAGATCTATAGATTTGGTCGTTCTATTGCTATTAATTGACATACGCGAGGACAATACCCTTTACATTGAAAATATCGTAAATATTTCGTAAATATAAACATTATTATTTCATTTAATAAGGAAATTTTTAGTTAAAACATCATAGCAAAAATATGCCTACTTCGATAATACTGGAAATTCGGGACAAATATACACCCATACTGGAACGTCATTGGAATATATTAATGGAGATTTTAAATTGTTTTTTACGAGATAAAAATAAAACCACAGTTGAATTTGCCCAATCAGCTTGCAGGTAAATAAATAAACATAAGGAAACAAATCTTAATTACGGAAAAGAAACTTAAAAAATGTCGCAAATCCTTCTTTTGCTTCATACATATCACGACCAACAAAGGTATATTAAAACTGCTATTTCTTTTAAAACGTATAAAAGTGCATTTTGAGGCTCTGTTTACCATTTACATTCACATCAAATCTAATCTTTCGTTAGCTGTACGGTTTTGTACATAAGTGGCCTTTTAATTCCTTTCCTATAATAATTTGATTCAATCTCTTGCTTGTAGCCGCAATATTTTTCCTTTCCGCTCATTTTGAGCAAATATATTCATCCTTACCTTCATTGGCCTTCACTGGTTGTTTAAAGTTTGCTTTTGGGGCAGAATTAGTTGCTTTGCTGCAAGACTGACTAACAGAAGTTAACAATTCGAAATATGAAAAGAAGCAAATGAAAGAAATCTGCCATAAACACTAAAAAAAAAAAAAGAAGAAAGACGCGGCTTACAAATTTGAATTCGTCTGCCAATGTTTTGTGGAAAAAGTGAGTGTAACAATAATTGAAAAGTCTTAGAGCGAATATTGTTTCCGCAAATTAATCAAAGTTATGTACAAATATGTTGTGGGCTCTTTTGTGGCATGCACTATTAGGGTGCAATCAGCATTATATGTTTGACTTGGGCGAACTAAAACTTCGGAATTTCTGTTTAAATACTAAATATTAAAATATATTTTACAAAAAAAATTTGATTTTTAGTTGTTTGTTCGAAATTTCTGGTTCCGTGCAAAAGTCAATATTGAAGAAACTTTTGGAACTAACTTGCGAACGTTCATCTCAAACTACTGTAAATTTCGCTCTAAAAACGATGCGTGACCTATGGCGACTATATCCCAAGATTTTACATAATTGGGGCACGATATTATTGGTAAAAATCCGTTGACAATTCATTTTTTACATGCCTTTGCATTCACATTTGTGGCGTTCTTTTTAATCATTATTTTAGCCATTTCTGGATCATATTCATGAAATGTCCTTAGCACAAACGCGTATTATTATGGAATTATTGTCGTCTGTCGCTTACCCTATACCCACGCTGGATGAGTGTGACACTTTACAAGATCAACTTGATATATTGGTCAAAAAGCAATTAATTAATAGGAATTCGCTGTAAGTTCCATTCACCATAATTATAAATTTTTATAAAACTCCTATTTCTTCCGCCTTGATAGTGTTAAAAAGCAGGGTATTATTGCTAGTGTCCAGCTAATTGATTGCATAGCCCGTATTGAGGAAACTGCGATAACGTCGGACGATTTTGAAACTAGTTTTAATACAGCTGATGATTTACCCGATGGCAGAGGCAAGATAGCGGCCAATTATTTAAGTAAGTTCACTGTGATATTTATAACCTGCACCACCTAGCGAGTATATAATACATAAAAGCTTCGTTGATATTAATCTTAAAGCCAATCTCTTTATTTTCTTGTTTGTTTGTCCAACTCAGTGAAAAAGCATGAAATGCTATTCGACTTTCCTTCGATTTTTTTTTACTGAAAAACTAAGTTGTTGTGATGTGGTGTAGTGTACTCAATGGCCAGTATCACCTTGTGATCTTCAAACTTTGTTTTTAAATTTTAATAACTTCATTATATTGAATTCTAGTGCGCACGCAAACTTCGACTATGTACTCCCCAGAGCTTCTGGCTTTATTCTACGATGAGTTGGCGATCGTATGTTGTGCTAAAAAAAGCGATCGTGCAAATAACTTGCTCCTTGATAAGAATTTTGTTATTTGGGTATGTGGACTTATGACTGATTGTTTTCAAACTAGCTTCGTTCCTGACCACCATCTCGAGAAAATAGAGTAAGTATTTCCGTATATAAATTTTTATGCTCTCTTGTCAATAATGTCAAGTGTAATCTCATTGCAGCGGCATAAACTTGTGTTATATGAAGTGCATAAATGCTTCAAGTGATATTACGAATAGCGAACAAAGCGAATTATCAACGATTGCCATAAACATAGGAGAGCTGGTTTTAAAACCTAGTAACGAGTAAGTTTGGATATTATGTTATATTAACTTTTACCACTTTGGGCGGCTAGAAATATTCCGATATTTCTTTTTCCTTTTTTTCAAAAATTATAACTGAAGCGATTTAATCGCAACCGTCCGTTTTCGAAAACGAAAATAAAACGCTATCACATGTAGCACTCGAGAGGCACTAAATCTTGCTCATATAAAACGCCCTGGTTACTTTAAGGAAGTGGAAGAAAGTAATTTAAAGAAGTGCACCCAGTTTTGCGGGAAAGTGACTGACGTCTATGTTTGATTTTAAGCGAGTTCTTTCCAGTAGTTAATCACGCTCGTTTTCTACTTTCATTTCAAAAGAAATATTTTTCTATTCGATTTTATCTAATCAAAGGGATATTCAGAACGTCGGAGTAATTTTTTGAGTTTCGTCCGCCCGTAGCTAAAAATCGAAAAAGCAATTAAATCAGATAAACGAGGTGGTCGTGGAACATGTGCATTTGAGGTCGCAAAATTTTGCAAAGCAGAACAAAAACTATACAATGCGAATTATTGCGGAGAATGAAGCAACAACCTCCTCAATTCCATGAAAATAACCTAAAACTCAAATTATCCTTGCCGACTTTTCGGCAGAAAAAATTCATAACGCATCACATCACAACAATCGATAGCTTTACTCGTAACTACTTTTAAGTCGCAGCACCAACATCTAACAGAAAATTTTACTTACCTTCTTTCATATAATTATTTCAAATGGGTGGAATATAGTTTTACACTTTATTTCAGGGCATCGTCCTCCATCTTAGTATTAGCAACGTTATTCAACTTAGTGCGAGTCTTGAAAATGCAGCGTTACGAAGGCAGCTTGGAGAGTATCAATGCATTGCTCGGTTGCGCCATTATTCTGCCAGATTTCTTCGACGATCCTGATTTGGACTCTATATTTAATGATTACGAAGAGCCAATGCAAAAGAAGATCTTAGACATTTACTTTCACTGCGTCAACTGGATGCGGGAAACAGTGAGTTCATTTGTTACCCAACGCGACGCAATGGTACGTACAAAAGTACTGCAGCGTTTAGTTGACATAATGAAAACTGAAAATAAAATTTACGAGATGCTAGTAAAGGCCCCAATAGATTACACACCACCCCAATGTCAATTTACGTATTCATCCAAGGAAACGAGTCTGAACATAAAAAGTGAGTAAATGAAAAAAATGGGAATAATATAGTTAAGAGGGACCGTTCAGTACCACGAACTACTAAATTCATTTTCGTCCTATGGTGCAAATGTAAATGGGCCGGTGAGCCTAGCTTTTAAAAATACCTATACATAGGAAAACGGCCGAAAATGCAGCAACAAATTTATAAATCAAAAAACTATTTTTGATTAATTTTCGCCATGAAATACTACAAGCTAAACCTTGTTGTCATGTAAAATAGTACCTTATCTAAAATGTCCGCACGGAAGGGGATACATTTGAAATAGAACCATCTTCTGCCAATTTTCGGTATTATGGCAAATGCGATATTTTGTCGAAAACTATTAAACTTTGGCGTTTTTTTTCTATAAACACTTCTCAGATAGGACGTTATAAGCGGTTGCAGTTCTAAAAATGATCCGATACGAATTTCAATATGGGCAAAAATATGCCAGTTTATTGTACATAATTTCATAGAAAAGATGTAAAAATACACAAAAAGTTACTCTGATTTTAAGGAATCACAACATCCACAATATTCTTTAATGATCAGATATTTTGTTTCTTTGAAGAGTGTACTCTATTTTTATGATATCTAGAATAGAGTGCACATTAGTATGCTTTTAGAGCATCAAATATGTGCATAATACGTAGAAATAGCTATTATTAATACAATTTTTGACTTAAGAAGTCGGAGAAGGGATACTTTTTAAGTCTTTTTTTCTATTAAATCTGTAACGTTTATTTTAGGTTGTTTTAGCAATGTTTTTTTTTTTTCACGTACGTGATCTCTTAGTCACGCGTTCGTTAAGAGCACCACATTATTGATTCAATATATTGCCATGTTTTCTGTTTATTATGAAAACTGGTCTATGAAAAACCTCTTTCAGATAATCTTCTATCGTTTCGGCAGATGAAACTATTATTCTACATCGGGATTCCACGAAATTATCTTACGTTTTAAGAAATTACTTTAAAGGAAGATTGTAAGTTCGTAGATAAATTTGTATCAATAAATCAATTTTGAATCAAAAGCTTGGAGTCAGATCCTAGACATATCTATCAAGTATCGTTCCCGCAAATTTAGACGCACCATTCGAAGTGTAATGGAAGTGAGAAATAATTTCTTATAGTACCACGGATTATTTTCTATACTATAATTATGATACAATTTATCTTTTATTATAAACAAAAAAAAAAAAAAAAAAAAACGCCGATGGTCCTCAAGCCCATAGATTTGTGGTTTCAATTTCTTGACAAATGAAAGTTTATCTCAATTTTACAATTTGCTTATTTAATTACACTGTTTTGTGTTTGTGTGGGAATGATGCGAATACATCAAGTTATTCTAAGTGTCGCAGCATTCGCAAACGTTAAATATATACTACACATATAACAAGTTGGTCGAAGTATAAGCACAAATTTATACAAATAAATGTCTTTGCACTTAGAAAAAGGCAAGGGGCGACCTGCTGAACTTGCTAACAGAGCAGATGTTGCAACCAAAGCCAAGAAGCCTAGAGCCAATCAGAAACATTCGGAAACTGCTCTCCCAAATGAAACTTTCGCTAACGATACCTTACGTACTGTTACGAAAAGCGTTAGCAAACCCAAAATTTCTACTAAATATAATTTCGAAAATTTATATGGACCTAAAGAGATCTACAGGTAAAATTTTATTGTATTCACTTGAAATATAATATTTGTAATATTACAATAAAAACATAGGCAATTGGACACCAGTATTATATTGATTTTAAAGGAGAAACTTAACTTGAGTTACCCGCTGCCGGCGGAGAGAGTGGGCGCGGAAATAGGTTTACTAGAATTACGATTCGTTTTATCCGATATCGTTAGTAAACTAGAATCGGTTGTCGGTATACAAAAATTTCAAACCGAAAGCCATTTACAATATGTAGCCCATCCCGATTACTTCGTTTGCGATCTTTCGCACTTTATGCGGATTATTGAGGAGAATATGAAAAAGGTGCGCCTGACTATTCTATTTAATGTTTATGCTAAACATATTAAATTTATAACCATTCTCACAGATTTCAGTCGTCCTTAACAGTAAATTGGAGCAAGTTCAACGTGTCTACAGTCACGCAGATTTATTTACGGAAGAATTGAATTTGTTAAAAGCTTGCTTCAGTTTATCCCTGCGTCTGTTAGTCGCCTATTTCTCATGGTCCCAATGGTTTGCTAACGAACACCATATTAATAAGTTGAAAAGTATTACTTAAATTTGAAATATTTTTACTTTAGTCAATGATATATGTTTATGTGTATACCCTTTTTTGAAGAATCACTTCTTGTATTCATGGACGCAAGCAACGCTCAGCATTTGTATGGTAAATCTGTTGCTGTTGCTGTCTTGGCTGCAGAAGCTTTCGATTATTTAACGGCATACGAAAATTGTGTTATTGACTTAAAATCGGCCGTCAATCTTTACCAATTAATGCTTCTACTAAACGCTCTTTCTGAAAAGGAGGCTAAAGAAAAACAAGCCCAAGATATGCGTAAGTATTTCTACGGTATTTTTAAAGATTTGTTATACATATATCGCTTAGTGTGGGAGTCTGTCGATAATTGTCGCAATTGTGCTATCACGCTCTAACGCTACCAATAAGACAGAGAAAACGAAAAAATACTTCAACAAAAACTTAGCTCTTCACGAGTAGTGATTGCGAGCTATAAAGGGGTCCAAATATTTTCATCCTCTATACTAGTCGTGAGATCAGAAGATGAGAGAGATATTTTTGAAGTATAAAGTTAATGAAAATTTAATAACAAACTTCCTTTTTTTCAAATTCCCAAAGTCCGCGAAGGGGATAGATATTTGGAAATTGAAAGAGCTTAAACTAGGGAAGGTGGTCTAAATTAAATGGAGCGAAAGTTTGAGTACAATTTCATCGCTCTTTTTTTTTTATAGAGCGGCTTCGCTTCAATTTGGTCAAAAACCATTTGAATTTTTCAAATTCTAGATTAATATGAAGAAAAGAAAGCCCTCTCATGTACGCTTCCAGAACTACGTGTTTTTACTTTTGCTTACCAGAAGTGAAAATCGCAACGTAAGATTTTAATATATTCCAAGCATCAACTAATTTAAACATTTTCTCTATTGGGTCCTTTGCGGTAATCTACAATAAGTTTAAGAAATGGTGGGCGTAGAATGCACGCAATGTCATGACAAACGCCTGCAAGCCGATGTCTAAACTTATAGATTTCTTCACATTCTCTGGTTTTCATTTTATGTCAGCGCCTTGTGCGTTTGCGTCACTTAAAAAGTTTCAGCAGTGCATTTATGCATTTTCGTATTCAGGTTCACTGTGTCGAACTTTATTGTGCCGCAAATGGTTCAGCTACGAAGGCAGTTTAGAAAAAGGTGCGCAATGTAATATCTTTTTGGACGAATTGGTTAAAGGATTTCTTAAAGATTCCGATTTTCGTCGGCAACGGGAAATATTGCGCATTGTACGTGAGGAATCAAAACATCTAAATGGCAAAGATTGTTCTCTAAAATCATTCCCGAATATTAAAAAGTAAGTTTAAACTATTGTGCTGCGGTCGAAATTTATAAAAAATTCCATAAATTTTAGAGCAAATTTCCCATTATTTTTTCGTGGCCTCTGTGAAATTTTGGTTTCTTCATTAAAAGTAGCCGTAAGTGATGCAAAATCGGCGACTAATCAATTAAGTGTATGGGAGTCCAGTTGCAAGCTATTGAATATGCTACTAGAAATAGTACAAAGCTCAGATGTTCCAAGAAATTTTCAAATTTTCGTTAAGGTACTTGCTTATATTCCGTAATTATTAGTATTGAAAAAACCCTGAAAGTAGTTGCAATGATCTTAAAAATAATGCCTTATCTTCTTCTCCTTATCTTTTTGTTGACTTCTAAAAAATTTGAACGCAATTTTTTTTTTTTCAGTATTCTCATCTTTATTTAAAAGTTACTGTGCAAGATGGTTTAAAAGTATTTGAGAAATATTTAAGACAAAATCCTGAACAGGTTTGTGAACTGTTGAAGAATATGCAGATCACCACAAGGTATTTGCATCATTTATGTTGCCATTCCAAAGTAAGTCAGTTTTTTTTTTTCGATTTATAACATTCACAAACTTGAGCAATTTCGTTACTTTTTCCGGTAGGCAGCACTTAATACTGCCATTATTAGTCAAATACCCTCACTGCGGGAGACTGTGGAGAATTATATATTTCGAGTTAAGGCGTTGTTAACGGCTAATAATTGTGGATCAGTATTTCTTCTGGGTAATTTGAAAAACAAGGACTTGCACGGCGATGAGCTTTTATCACAAGTAAGTTCAGCCTGCTGGCAAAGCTCTGTTGGATCTTGTTCTTATATTTCGAATACATCTTCTATCCAATGTTTAGACTGCTTCCTTAGGCAGTACTGTTTCCACGGCACAGAACAGCGATGAAGAAATTCCCGATGATGATACAAGTATTGATGAAACAATCGCGGATAATGACGACATCGGCATTTCCCACGACAATGGCAGTAAATCATCAACTCGCAGTAGATGTTTTTAACCAAAAAAAAAAAAAAAAGAAGGTAATTATCTACCGTATTTTGTACTTTTCCATTAAAATCGTTTACCTGTTTTTTTTCGTTATTAAATTTTGTTTTTGTGCTTTTGATATTATATATAAGACTGTCGAGTTTTTTTATACCCGCCGCTGCAAGAGGTGAGTATACTTATTTCATTTTCCTCCATAACGTATGTAACATTCAAAAGGAAGCTTCAGAGACCCTATAAAGTGTATATGTTCCTGATGAGCGTGAAATTCTGAGTTGATTTAGCCATGTCTGTTTGGAGGGTTGTGTTGTTGGCACTCTCCTGGTATCTTAAAGGCACTCAAGACAGAATGTTTAAAACTATTTTGTACCCTCCTCAAATGAAGATATATTATCTGCCTAAGAATGGGTTAATTTTAAAATGAATACAGTATACAGTATGTGTATCAAATAAAAAAACTTGGAGAGTAGAATGCGAAAAGCACAGTGGTGAGGTGGGTATGCGAGATTATTTAAACGGTGTCGGAAACACAAAAGCCCAGAGCGCTTAGAAAAAATTGCAAATCTTACGCCCCAAGTCTTTTTGTAAGAAAATAATTAATGCACTTACCTTGACCTTCTATTCTTCTAGCATTCTTACTTAATAATCGTATCGAGGCAATTATTAAGAAAATAAATACCATATGCTTAGCTTTACCCATTCTATGCTCCAATCCCTTTTATTTGATGCTCACTCTGACACAAAGGAAGTGACAAAAGAGTTTATGAAATATCTTGGACGTTCTGATAAATAAATTTAAAATAACCTCACTCTATTAAGGGTTAAATATTCGAATAAACGTATATTAAAATCCAGCAAAAAAGTTACATTCATCTTAAGGCAAAGCTTAGATATCCAGTAACTTATGCGTTCTTCACCCATTGTGAGTTAACGATTCTACAGTTTATCGAATGAGTTTATTGATTAAATAATTTTGGTATAAGGTTTTAAATTGTTTTCACAGAGACAGCGAGAGAGAGAGATAGGGACGTGGTTGATGTGGTCCTGGAGTAGGCTCCTGATAAGCCGGAGTAGCTGGCGAACTCTTATTCCCGTTAGCCCGATTAGACATATCACTGAAAGATTTAATAGATAAATCAATTTTTTATTAAATTTGACCATGGAATCTTACTATTGCTCAGCTGCTTGGCTGGACATGCCCTGAGAGCCTTTAATAATATCCTTGGCGCGATGGTCACATCTCTTGCGGAAACCAGTGCGTTCATACTTCGGCAACCATCTTTCGGGATCTGGTGGTATCTCAGCATTATAATTTTTGGGTAGTTTGCTTTTCCGCTTCCGTTTATGACACTTTTTCTTTTCAACCACTGGCGTGCCAGGCGACTGGTCAATTTTCGCATTTGCCGATTTCTTCGCGGCTTTGGTGGACATTACCCAGTTGGCCGCTTCTTCTGCCTTGCGTCTACTCTCACGGATTGATATCACCATTTCGGTTCCTAATATGTGTAGCCGGCGAAATTCAAAACGAACAGGGCAAAGCAACTAGCTTTTCTCGCCAATTCGATTCGGCCCCCGCCGAATATAACTTTCTTAGTTTAGTTTGTAGTTATGACTGCTTGAATTTTCTGAGCGTTTTTAGATAGTGAAATTTTGGAGTTGTTGAGTACTTCATTTAATATCATCTCGCCCCAAAATCATTCCCACCCATTTCTACCTACCTATGAGCAGTCTTTTCCCACTTGTAATATGCCAAATGAATTCGTAGGGAGGAAAATTTATCAATATTTAAACTTCTACGTTTGTTTACGAAATTTTGGACGATTGATGTTTAAGATTAAGTTTTAAGATATCTTCACATCCTCTTGCTCCCTACGATGAGCAACTACTTTATATCTTCACAAAGAAGCGCAATTAAAAGAAAGAAAAATGAACAAACGTGTTCAAAAAATCCAGCGCTAGAGATAAAGTCGGAGGAATAACAAAATAACTACGAACAGACACAAATGACAGGAAACATCCTTTGATAGAGGATAAAACCAAACGCACAAATTTGCAATTTTATCAACGGCTTAATCTGCGTAGTATCAATGCCTAAGTGTCAATCGGGCGATAATGAGGATGACGGCGTAGGGGCTGGCATATAAACTACTGCAAAGGGTTTAGAAAATTCTCAAGATTCCTCGTTAAGTCATACAAATGAAAATAATCGTGCAAAAGAACCTCAAAAGTATATTTGTGATATGTATGGCGATATTCATACCAGTGTACAAACATCTTTGGTTGTCGGATGTACCAACGCCACGAACGACGGCGTCTACCACATTATCATTATAAGAGGCCAGCTTTGCCAATTCTCCAGCATCCGAAGCGTCAGGAGACGTGGAAGGCGACAGTATTTAATTTCCTTAATTACTTAATATTGTGAGATGTAACATCTCCTGATTCTATGCTGTAAGGACAATTGATTTTTTATGATATATAAAATCTTCAATGACAACAGAATCCAAAGGAAAGCATGTTTGTCCTTAAATTTCCTAAAAAGGGCACAGATTAAGCTTTTTTATCTTTCTTTTCTAATTGGTCATTACTATCAACATGACGTGTGGATTCGAGCGATATTTTCCGGTAAGGCTTTTCGTACTGCATGTGCGTCCGCGGGTTCGATGCCTTTATGGTAATCTTCGCTAGTTCGAACAATTTCAAAACCAAATTTCTTATAAAATTCAATTGCACCATATTTGTTAACTTGAACATGTCATATGGAAATATGGTTAGATATGCTCGTATTTTATTTCTTATATATTTTATTCATCATATATCAACCATATTTTCTTCATGCTTGTTCTCACATTTAAAAAAAAACGATATGCTGAGAATAGAGAGAGTATAGAGTTGCCGTAATGAATCGTTAAACCATCTCGTGAAGAAGAAGAACAAAGTTATTCATCTGTTCGTAGTGTACTGTTAAAAACGGAAGAGGTAACCTCGTCCTAAATCGAAAAAAAATGAAATTTTCGGTTTTTCCCTAAAACGTAACGGCCCCAAATTTACAAATACCTTAAAAAGAACAAATTGTTGGCTTTCTAATCCGTGTTTCGGTTACGAGTTCATTAGACCGAATTACATCCAGTTTTAGAAATTTGGACTCTACAACCGATGGTTGTAGCACGCTCGAACTTTAGCAATTTTTGCAGTTCCCAACCAGCAACGCGTAGATAGACGGACCAATTCATTCTGGTCTATCAAATCTGATTTCTATATTCCTTACAAGATCTCAACATTATAAATTAAATGGCGAAGGAAAGCTAGTTTTTATCTTCCGCTCTATACATTAGATCAAGTACAATTTTTAATGTTAATAAATTTATTTATATTTAGTTTATAACGTTTTATATAGCAAATAGAAAACAAATCGTTATTCAATTTATTTTTTGATTAAAGTTTTTATTTTACTCGATATGTTAATTCATATTTTATAAAGAAATATTATAATCACAAAAGCAATAATAATAAAACAATACTCCTTTTAAACAAAATACAAAGTAAGAATAAATAAATTTGTTTGATAATTCGTTTGCAAGCAAGCAACGAAAGTATGTACATATATACACTTCAAACGCATTTAGCATTGCTCTGTATAATAATTCTGTCTCTGTTCTGCACATATCTTCGAAATACGTGTTCAGTATACAGCTTTTGGTCGAAAGTTCTCGAAAGGTTTGTATGATAATTTCGTGTCTGTTCTACATACCTGTTGTATATACAAGTTCTAACTTTTGTATAAAAGCTCCCCGACAATGAAAAATATCCCAGATGAAAAATTTCGCCGTTCATGAAAATTCATCGAAAAATTTGCTACATACAAATATACTGCTTGTTTTTCATACAAGCAAATTTTTATGTATACCATAGCGCATATTCACACAGAATTGCATATGTTTCCCGTTTACAAACGTTTATTATTATTTAATAAACTTTTATTAATTTTTGGGTTTTTAAGTTTAGCACATGCTGCTTACTCAACTCTTGAAGATTTCATGATATCTGTGACCTGAATAACGGTACCGCTTCTTGCGGATTACGGTGTTTTGTATGTTAACATAGTTTTAAAATACGTTGTCATTGCCTTTTGACTTGTCTACAATGTCTTGTGCTTTAATAAATATTATAAATGTGTACAAAAATATTGTTTTAATTAAAAAATGACGAATATTGCGTTTTTTTTTTCTAAAAGTATAATCAAATCTGATCTGAGAAACAGAGTGATTTTGCGAATAAGTTTCTGATTTATCTAAGCGGAGATTTTTACCACTTTAACACACTCCGGGAGGAAATTTCTAATTCATCTAAGCGGGGATTTATACCACTTAAAAGACTTGCAGAAAAATTTCTTATGTATCAGAAATGATGAGTGGCAATGATGTAACCAACAAAAACAGAAATGTTACAGAAAATGAATTTTGCTAAATTTTTCACTTACTCACAAACTAGACGGGAAAAAGGAGATATTTTGCAACGAATAAGTACAAGATTTTTGTAGATGCGCAATAAAAATTCTAATCTTGGCAGTTAATACATTTGCTTCATCCAGAAATTTACAACGTTCAAAGGACTTAAGACAAACCAATCTCTTATCATACCCTACATCGCTTGTGGTACAAGGGTTGAAATCTTTGAAATATTTTGACAAAATACGGGACACTGACCTGTTTTGCCGCAAAAGCGCAAATTACACAAGTCCAAATCTTGCCAGAATTTCTTTCGAACTTATTACACTTAACTGCCTTTAATAAAACACTTGACTGTATTCCTTTGGGCACGTTTAAGTAACCCTATATGCTTTATATTTTATTCAAAATAAATGTTTATTAAATTTTTCTTTTTGTATTTTATTTTCATTCGTGAATTTTTACTTTCTTATTTATTAAATATATATTTATTTTGTTTGGGTATTTTGTAAGTGTTCTATAACTATATGTATCATATAAAATAATGGAAAAACGTAAAATGGAACAAAGGCGATTTGATAAAAAATCAAACTTTAAACATATTAAAATGAAACATTTCATATATAGATGAAAAAAAAAAAAAAAATTGCTTTACATATAAAGACATGAAATATTTTAATTGAAATTGAAATTCAAATAATAAAAGTGAATGATCGACAATAAAAAAAGAAATATATTAATAATTTGCGATCTCTCCTGACTTGGAAGTCTCCTTAGAGATCTTATTACTATTATCTATATATATATAAATGTATTTTAACAACAACATTAACTCTAACAAAATAAAAGCTATGCTTCACATTTAACACGCTTGCCGTTCGCGTGGACATTAAATGACAGCTATATTACAAATTACACGGTTTGACAACTTAAATTCTAAAGTCTAAATTCTTAAATAGTGTTTTTATATGGCTGCCTTCCAGCATTTATATAACTCATCGATGGGGGAGGCTTGACTTAGGTACATTGATGTGAATCTTAACGTTTGAATCGAATTAGTTGAAAAAAGAAAAAGCAGATACAGAAATGTATTTAAAAAAAATCATGAGATGCTCTTAGTGTTCGCACATTTAAACCTAAGGGTCGCTACTAAAATGTCGACGTTTCAAAGCCTTGGTTAATTTAGTTTCCATTTTGCGTTGGGTTTCTAAAATTCTTTCCAATTCGTTATGTTTGATTTGTAATTCTTTTTCTTCTTCAATTAATCTCAATTCTCGATCTTTATTCTTTAGACGCGACTTGCGACTAGCTTCGTTATTTTTATAACGATCCAGCATCTTTTGTCTTTCGCTTTTGCTCATGCTATTTAGTTTCGATTCATCTGGGATATCGCTATGCATTTTGGCGGGCCGACCCCGTCTTCGTTTAGTGGATACCGAATCTAAAGGGTATTGCTGATTCTGTGTTTTAGACGAGCAAGGTGAATTTGAGTCATCAGTAAAAGCACTTTGATTAGTGGCCGAAAAGGAACTGCAGGGCGTTGGTGGTAAATAGTCCTCTGTATTGTCACTTAACTCCGAAAATCCCGAGCAACTATCCTCAAGCTGCTTCTTTATGGTATCTACTGATTGTACATTAATTACTGTTGCCTATAAAAAAAAAAAAACACGTATAAAATATATGAATATAATACGTTACAGTTGGAATAAATTACAAATAAATATTAAGGGACTCTAGGAACGTCGTGACCGTCTTTAGCAAGCTCTTGTTAGTCAGTCTTTTCATTCGAACGTTCATTATATTAATTTTTTCTCGTTAATTACGATGCCACGACCCCACACATCATCTTAACGTTTGACAATTTTTATGGATAATATACATAAAACAAGAATTTCTAGCAACAAGAAAAATAAAGCTTTGCACTAATCTACCCTTTGCTTGAATCCACTCGAAACACTAAGGAACGCTTCAAGAAAACTAATCCTTTGTTTGCGATGTAGTACAGAAAAGTGACAAAATTGTTGTAATATATCGAAAAAAGAAAATCAACTATCGGTGTTTAAACTAAGTCGAGATTCTCCACAGTGCACTCGCAATGTAACGAATGTAATAAAAATTCGAGTATGGCAGACGGTAAAGTAATCAGTAAGAAATCAAAAACAAGACCAATTACCTCAGAAAAGTCTTGCGTTATATATTCGATTACTGAAGGCGTATCCAAGGTTAAAGCAGCCGCATTATTTTCTGAATTAGAAACTCTTTTTATATCCAAAAAAAGTTTCCTTTTTGATGGTTGTTCCCCTATTGCTGTTGATGGAATTTCGGTTGAGGTACGTTTTGTGGATGTCCGGCAAGTGGTACTGGCTGTTGGTTCAATTGTTTCGTTTTCATTTAGGCAACTGACAAAACATTCGGTAGAATTGTTAAGGTAATCTGGTGCCATTTCCATGGGCACATCATCCGGCAATAAGTCATAATCAAATGTTAAAGGTTCGGCTTTAGATATTTCATCTTTTAAATGTTTATGTTGTTCAACCGATGTAAAGTGATTTGTAAATAAGATGTCATTCGGCTGCGAGTTAAGGAAGCATTGGCTAAGCGATAATTCATCGTTATTCATGACGGCGATAGGTGGTTCCGTAATCTCGTTAAACATATTTTCTTCTCGCAACTCATCCATAAGCACTGTCTCATCATATTGACTACTTGGTAAAATTTTGAAGAGTGATTCTGTACCATAATCACTAACGTCATCGCCAAAGATTATATTAGCCTCCATTTTGCTTTGATTGTTGCTGTTATTATTAATTGCGGTATTTACTGTTGTGCTGCTGTAGCTGTTAGTGTTATTATTTTTGTTGTTATTGTTGTTGTTGTTTTTATCAAATTGTAAGATATTGATGTTGTTATTCTTGTTGCTAATTACGTGATCATCCGATCCAATATCCGAAACAAACAGTAATTCGTTCAGCAGATCTTCTTCGTTTTTCATACAATGTTCAGATGACTGTTGCTCCCTATGTAGAACTATTGATTTCTCATTTGAACATTGTGGTTGTTGTTGTTGTTGATTGTTGAGCGAATGTTGATGTTCTTTGGAAATTGGGCCAAAATCAAAATCGAAATTTTCAAAAATTTCACTCGTATTCCGCACATTTCCTTTTACATTGCACGGCTCACTGATAATGTTTATATTCTGGTTGGTAGTATTATAACTGTTGGTGTTGTTGTTGTTAAATATATTAAAATTATCTCCGATAGTTGATTGTATGTTGTCGACCGACGAAGTTTTTCTAATATATTCTATAAGAAAATGTATATATATACATATATATATAAATATTGTATTAGTTTATGAATTATTATGCAAAGTCCAAAGAAAAACTAGTCGGGTTTAAAGAAACCGTCAAAATTTTACATGTCCACAGGTAAGATATTGAGGTGGTGTTTTTATACGAGTTTAATCTAAAAAATATTTTTATATCTGCAGCTTAAACCTAACCCGTTTATAATAAAGGTCAAAAACGTTTTATTTCCCGCATGTAATTATGCTAAAAAAGTTTAATATTAAATCTAAAGAGAAGCTAATTGCTTATTTTCGAGAGTATAACATTTTCATAAGAAACCCTACGAGAATCAATAGTTCAAATAATTTGAATGAATATGATATATAAGGATTGTTAAAAGTTATTTCAACTTTTTTCATTTTTTACCCGTGGAGGCGCTAAAGGATATTAATTTTGCCCTTTGCGTTTGAAAAGCCTGGAAATCCTAGCGTCGGATCGCTTAGCTTGTCTTCTATTGTACATAAAAACTCATAACCAAAAAAATTAGGAAAGAAACTACTATCTAGTTGATCAAATTAGAATGCGAAAGTAAGAGGCCTATTAAAGGCTGCCGCTAGTAGCTAGCTATATGATAGCTAAATATCGGCTTGAAATTTCACACAAATACTTATAAGAATTGTTCAAGCAATTTATGTATAAATAAGGCCACTGTTAAAGGCAACAAACAGCCGTTGACAGTTTTATGTATACCTTTCAGGATCTGCCACGTTCAGACAACTACAACTATCTTATTGACTATTCATAAAGCGAAATATAAATGATCCGAACTTTGAAAATCTTTCACAGTAAGCAAAGTACAAAAGACGATAAATTAATATATTAGTTTGTTGTTCATTTTAATCTGGTTTTTGTTATGGGAAGGATGTGCAAATATTGTCCATCTAACATTTTCCTCAGAGGTTTTCTTCAATTAGCAAATTGTCTGCAAATTTTCATTAATTTGTTTCATTTTATTCCTACATTGCGTTTCCTTAATATTTTGTTTCTTTTTTATGTCGTTGTTGTGTTGTTGATGCATTTTATTTTGAAAAATATTTTGTAATTGTAATTTCTTTCCTTTCAAAATTTATTTACTTTATATTCATTTCTTTGAATATTTATATTTACTCATTAATTTCCTTTTTACAGGCAACATTTTAGTCGTAAATCGCATTAATTGCTTATGTTTCGTAGCATAATTTTAGGGAAATGAATATTTGTTCGTTTACATTTATCTTTCAATTGGTTTTCGCAACTAGTCGTTGTAGCAGAGGTCAAGAACAAGAGTTTTGCCGTATGAGCGGGACGGATATATGATTAGAAAAGTAGTAAAAAAAAAGAGAATCTTTTACAATAAATATTGTGAAATTAGCCAAGTTCAAGCATGATCTTAGCACATAACACAGGAAGATATCATTTTGCTGAACTTTTCCTCAAAGCAAATAAATTATGAAAAAAAAAACAATTGGGAAAACTATTTACAAAAATAAATTTAAAAAAAAAAAAAGTAAATAATTATTTTCTGCAAAAGCACCGCTAACATATTTATTTACTTCGCTCCGTTGCCAAAACAACAATTGAGATTTCTTTGTTTAATATATTCACATATAAAAGTCTGTCTGTAACTCATTGAAGACAAACACTAAAAACAATAGTTAAAAATTCTTATTTCCTTTTTTCCAATTATGGACAGACAAAACATATATATGTACATATTTAAAAATTATATGAGGCAAGAAAACTTTTTCAAACATAAATTCATCATGCTTTTTTTTTTTTTTTTTTTAAAAAAGGGTTTGTTTTAAAAACTGCATATTAAAATTGATACTTAAAGTATTATTAGAATATGAAAATAAGATTTATTTTTTACCAATAATCGTCCGTTCGTTTGTGCAAGGTGGTGCGAGCAGCAACAAATAACTGTGTTTATTGCCTCACTAACATCGAATTTTATACATATGTTTGTGTTAAATGAGAATCTATAAGATCCCGTATTCTCTCTCCCTCTCTTTTATGATGAATGCTCTCTCCCATTTCTCCTTCTCGCTCTCAATCTCAATTTTGTACAATAATGTCTTGTTTTTGTTCGAAAGAAAAGATACACAAATCTTTTGCTTTTTTACTGATGTTTCGCGTAAGGCAAGTGTGCACGTTTGAACATGCACTATCCTATCCAGGACAAGAATAAACGGTTGATCGTTCAATAGAGAAATACGTATGAATTATTTAAAAAAGTATTGGTCTTTGAAGGGCATAAAATTCATTTTGATTCATAATTAACTTGTTTTATTATTATTCCATTTAATTTAATTTAATTAATGTTCCTTCTGTACCTTTTTTTTCTATTAGGATGGATGAGTTGATCGAGAAAGTTGTATTTACATTTAAGCCAAATTTATTGGATTTACCATTAAGTAAAGTTTGTACGTTGTTAATAATACTAAACGCAAGAACAATTTTGCAATTATCGGAATATTCGGGAAACATTTGTGATTATGTTCAATCATAAAGACTCGATTTTTTATCTTCAGCCTACGAATTTGAGAGATGTAAAAATTTATGAAGGGGCAAATAACATGGAAATAATTGTTGAATATCGTTATATTTTGAGAAGTAATTCGGTATATTTACATAGATAATAAAATGAAATTTAATACCCAAGTTTACCAAGTTCAAACAAAAGATAAAGCATTGCCATATTTATTTCGTTCGTTCGATCGTTATCGACAAAAACGTTAGAAACTTTTATTTTCGGCATTGTTGCTGCAATTGTTGCTTTGCTATGCTATGCATTTTCGTAATTTTCAAGTGCGATGTTTCACATTAAACGCAGAGTACAGACGTATATGTTCCAAGACATTGTCTTAGCTTTCTCCCTCATTTGGTTGTGAACTTGTGAATTTTGATAGTGCGACAGACCGAAGGGCAGACGTTTTTATAATAACCACACGTCTGTGTGTGCGTTACAACTTTCGAGAATTATTTACCATTCTTGCCGGTCTCTACAGATTTATTAGGGAAAATTCATTAAACTATAAACTTTATTGATCACCTTATTTTGCATATGTATTTCTGGTTTTTTTTATTTATTTATTTTTTTTTTCTATATTTAAACCCTTGTATATGTTTGCGATGAGAAAATGAGCTATGAGCACGGAAGGGCTGGTGCCGATCGTAGCCGAATTGTTAAAATTTGATAAGTTTTACATTCCTATTGGGTTCCTAATAAGATACTATTGAAGAACCAATCACGCACAGTCATGCTCAACGGATAGTTAAATATCATTTCTAGCTGCTTATGGAAATGTATCCAATTTTTCTAAAACTATGTAGTCATCTAGACTTGTCGTCTCATATCGCATCATAATAATTAAAAATAAATAATTATTTATTAAAGAAGTTTAAAAAGTTCACCTGATCGTTTTTTAATTTTTTTATACCACTTTTTCACTTGAGGAACAATAAAATATTATTTATAATTATATAGAACACTATTTCTTATTTTACGATGCTTCCACTTCAAATGCTATACACAGAATGAGGTCTTTCGCTTTCAGGTTGATAATGACAACAAAGGAGACTTTAACTAAACTATTACATACATGTATACCATAAAAGATTTTAACCGAAACCAATAATCGTCAAAGAATGCCAAAAGAGACGAGCCTCCAAATGGTAGTGTGATCTCTACATATTCATAGGTTAAGTAAGTAGTTATGCTCCAGTTAAGAAACTTAAATTGAGTAAGAGAGATGTAGAAAAGGGGAGAGAGAGAGATAGAGATAGATAGAGAGAGAAATGGAGAGCGAGAGAAGGAAAGAGAAACGAGGATTAAAGTTTTATATTCAACACCGGGTTTTGATTTGCAAATGTATTCTCTGCGCAAATGCGTGGTGACGGAGTAACACCCCACTGCTTGCGTTGCACTAGAACAGTCAGTTATTTAAGCATTCGAAAATTATAATTAATATTTACTGGAAGAAATAGTGTTTGAACTTAGATTTTGGATAAATAAGAGATGCTCGTATTGTAGGAGAGGTGGGTAAGCGAGAGTTAATTTCACAACATTGAATGGGTAATTGAAACAAAAAAGGGGAAGTCCTTCTATACGAAGATTTCGAAGATGTCAGATATATCTTAACACGTGCAAGCGCAAACAATGAATTGTGTAAATTTGTATGCAGGGTAAGTGAACGATGCAATGCAAAATGCAATTGCAGTTGCTTTCAAATATTCTTCTCTTTATTTTAATCGTACCTAGTGCGTTACATTTCTTATTGCTAGCTTTTCATCGATGAGCTAGCACTCATCGTATATAGTCAAGAATTCATTTTTGTCGTATTTTTTTAGAATAATTTTGCAACTCATAAAATAATACTTGGACGAGGCGGGATCTTTCAAACAACGGTAGTTAAAAAGATTTATATATAATTGAAGTTTCTTAAGGAAGAGTATGGTTGTAGGTGCAAGTGAGCATTATGCATATATATATATATATATATATATATATATATATATATATGTGTGTGTGTGTGTGTGTTCAAGAAGACATATCCGTATATATACTCATGTAGATATTTATGGATCCGTATGTACGTATACGAACACAAACGCCTTTATAATACATGTGTATATGTATACACATATATAAATGTATATACACATATATCTACGCGTATGTGTTCTTTATGTTGATATACATATATACATATACACGCTTATAAGCTTATATATATATATATGTATATATATATGTATCTATATATATATATATGTATCTATGTATATATATATATATATATGTATCTATGTGTGTGTGTGTGTGTGTAAAACCACATTTCTCCGCATATATTCATGTGCATATGCACGAATATACACAAACAACTATATATACGCGTAGACATATATATACATATGCAATATACATATGCAATATGTATACATATGCAATATATATATATATATATATATATATAT